TTTTTTTAGTTAAAAAAATAATAACCATTAAAAAAAAATCAATTTAAGCCAAAAAAATTTTTTTTCAAAAAAAAAAAAAAAAAAAAAAAAAAAGGTGTTTGTCTTAGTCAAAAATTCCTTAATATTGATGAAAAATAACTGGCAGATTATTTCACTTTTAACTAAACATTTTTGCATGTTAATCAAGCTCCTGCATCTTGGGTAAAAGTTACTTGTTAGTTTTTTCAAGTGTCCTAAGATGTTTACACTAAAAACTAGACTAAGATACTTGGTAAGATTTAGTGTTTTTGCAGTGTAGTTTGCAGAATTCACAAACATGTTTTATTTTTTTACAAGAGAATATTTCTTGCACTTTTAGAGTCATTTTCATGGAAATGTGCATATGATACATGGAAACTCCCAGGAAAAAAACTGGAATTTAAAAAAATAATTTTACTGTGTGGCTTTTAATACAAAGTTATCAAGAGCCACAGTGGAGCAGGATTTGAGTCACTCTTTATTTAGAAACATTTGCTGTGTTTAATCGTTTGGCAATAGCATGCTTATTGAAATTAAAATACTTTACATTTTTCTTGATTTGTTGGTTATAAAGAACAAACTGTTACCTTTCCTTTGGGGCTCTTCTCGTTTGCAGGATACATGAAGATCCCTCCGTAGGCGATGGTGCGGTGAACGTCTGACACCATGGATCCCACGTAACGGGCCCCATAGGGGGAGCCTCCATCCTGCAGGAGGGGCAGGCACACACTTCTGTTATTAACTGGTTTTATATAGTTTGGTGCAATTTATTTAAAACCAGCTATGGATCAGGGTTGTTATGTGAAAGAGTTTAATGCAAGGCTCAGATTTTTCCTGAAGTTTGATTGTTGAACTTCTATCAGATTTAAATCTATAAAATTTTTGTTTGCTTTTAAAGGGAACGTGTTATTCAAAAACTACATTTTGCAAGTTTTCATTCTTCCATTTGCGTCTCTATTGCTTCTGAAATCAGCCCAAGACTTAAACAAAAACACACCAACACGTTTTTGACAGTGAATTAATATTTTTCAGTGTCTGGAAAATGTGCAGTTTCAAAACCTTCAGCTCCAGCAGAGATCCACATGTTTGGTCAGCTGGTTTTAATGCTGCATACGCTGTACAAACTGTTTAAACTGACCAGATGAAGAATCCTCTGGTAGGCACAACATTACTGATAGTGGAAATTACTTATAACTATATAAATGAAATACATATCTGGGGGGTGGCGTACAGTCGGGCCTCCTCCCCCTTCTTATTGAAATAAAACAAGCTCCTGTCTTGCTGAAAAGTTGCTTGTATGTTTATCTTATTTCAAGTGTACGAATATAAAATGTAAATTGTGCTGCATCTATGTTAACACCGGTCTCTACAAAAACAAATCAGTTTTTATAAGAAAGAAAACTGTTGATTGATAAAGCACCACTTTACTCTAAGCTTTCCAGTTGTTTTTTCTCATGTTTGATCTTTTTGCTGTAACATTAAAGGGTAATCAATAACCAGCAGAGGGGTCAGAGTTCACCTGCAGCTGATCTGGGTCACACTAAGCAAACAAACTCCTCCAGGGTCGGAGTGGAAACTCGTTTTGGTGGCTTTGCATGTTTCTGTTTTCCTCCACAGCCTGAAGCTGGGAGGCGATAAGTTGCCCTTTCATGTTGGGAGTCCTGCGTTTGCTGACTCACCTCACACTCGTCACATGGGAGTGTGTGTTCACAGCGTTCCTCAAACCACACAAAACTCACAAACACACTCATCTTTCTCTCTAATAACAATCATAATCTGACTTTTTGTGATTTTTCTCCAGATAAAATTTGTAGCTACAGCTGAAACTTTCATCCTCCAACTTGTTTTACACAAAGTAAAAGCAGCAGCTTGAGAGCAGGAAGCAGACGCTGCTGTGACGCTGCACTCAGTTTAATCCCCTGCGGCATCCGAGGCATGTTTGCGTTGCTCCGTCACCTCATGATTTAAGTTTCTGCTGCGGAGGGGAAGGCTGCGGTTACGGCTCCCATCTGCTGTGTCACTGTTACCATCACGAGTGTTCGAACCTGTCACACAATGTTTTCCTTTTATTTTCTAAAAATAACCCAAAGCAGGAAGTAATGAAAACTTCAGGCATCTAAAATAGTGGAATAGTGGCAGATTAAGAAAATAATCAGGCTGCTGTTCATTAAAATGTTTTATTTTTATCCTCAAAGCTGGAAACCTTCACCAGAGTACGAGAAAAAAAGAATAAAGTCGTAAAATTAGGAGAATAAAATAAAATATGAGAACAAATTCCTACTATTATTTAGTACTAGGCCTGTACAGTGAGACTATTTGAGGCTGAAAAATTATTACTTTATATTATGTTAAAACTGGAATGATATTTTGCAGTTTATTCTGATATTATTGTGATTTTTTATAAAACCGACACCAAATACGTAATATTATAAGAACTCTGACACAAAAAGAGTCTAATAGCTGCATTAAAATGAAGAATTTTATCATTTTTGGTCTTACTAATAAAGTGGTAATAATATGAGAATAAACGACAAAATATTAATAAAACATTAATATAATATATTAATATTTCACCCTCAAAAAGCCGCATCACAGGTCACAAAGTATGATGGCCGTCATAATCCTGACTGTTCAGAACTGATGATAAATAACATTTTATGACTTAATTTATGATTATTATTTTTTTTTAGCCTGGCCCTTTTACTACATTTTGAGCTTTGAGCATAAAAAAAATCCCAGAAGAAACATTTTAATCTGCAGCAGTGGGATTATTTTCTTCATCTTTGCTGCTCATGTTCGGTTTGAATCCATCCAGGTGAGTTTCTGCACAGCTGAATGGTTGCCATGGAGACTAGACATGAATGAAATAATCAAAGCAACACTGCAGATATTAATATTACATGACAACACGTAAAATAATACGCAGCAGTCACATGACTGTCCGTTGACAGAATGAACGTTTTTTACTGACTGAGCAGGATGACGAATCACAGAGGAAATTAAAAAATGAAGTTTCAAGCTTTTCCTCTCTGGTTTATCAGCGATGAGTGACACTGAAACGGACTCTGTCATCGTGTTTTTGACTCCAGAGTGCTGAACAGACACCAGAGTTTCCAGCTGACAGGCTGACCAAACGTCTGATGGTCACATGTCGACGCCCGGCTGCAATCTGTGATCGCTTGGCTTGGCCTGCGGCGCCCGGCTAACTGAAGAGACTTTCACAATCACTCCGACAACATGCACTGCAAAAACACCAAATGTTATCAAGTTACTCCTAAGTTAGGTTTGTCTTATTTCAACTATGTCAAGATATTTTCAGTAGAAACTAAAAATACTTGTTAAGATTTAGTGTTCTGAAGTTTGTTTGTTCACAGACTCGTCACGAAAACAAACTTCTCTGGACGATAAATTGTCCCAGAAGTTATTGCGATAAATTATAATATTGTTATTTTGAGACCATTTTCAAGTAGCATGCTTGAAAATATATTTTAAAGAACACATTCTCAAAGCACAACAAACTTTAAATATTAATAAACGTTTAATTCTGGAACTGGAAGACATTTTAAATATGCAAAATAAAAAAATAAACAACAAATAAATGAATAATGAAATCTCTGTAAACAAATTTGTCCTTTAAATAAAGTGATAATTGAGATCAAAAGAGCAGACTGAAGACTTTCATCATCCAGTTTTTGGTAGAAAGAGAGAAAAGAGAAAAATGATAAATCATGAATTAATCAAAATGGAAATTATTGATCTAGTTTACATTTATTATGTGATTATTCGTTCTGTTTGTTGTGACAGACCTATTCATTGACTAATGGCTGATTTTTGAGAACTGCGGTTGTTGTACTTTCATGTCTCTAATTGCCAAAGTATAAAAGAACATATTTGCTCTTAATCATGTAAAACTGTTTAATTATTGCACAGAAAAACGTCCTTTTCCCCTCTGGGTGTTTTTCTGCAGTCAGCTTCCTGTAAACTCACGCAGGCAAATCGAGCGCGTCGTCAGGACTCACATGATGAGTTTCTGGCAGACTCATTACTCAGGACCCGATTTTATTTCTCCAGTGTGTCAGCGAGTCCTTCTGCTTTACAGCTTCATCAGAAGGAGTCAGATTCAAACAACAGACGCATTATCTCACGTTTCTGGCTCCGCCGCAAAAACACTAAATATTACTAAGCACTGTTGGTTTAGTTTTGATAGTGCAAACACCTTAGTTACTTACAAGTAGCTTATCAGCAAGAAATAAAAGCTTGTTTTAAGTTAATAATTCCACAATGTTTATATAAAAAGTTCTAGTTTCACTGCCAGATTATTTCACTTGTAAATGGTCATTTTTCATCAATATTAAGGATTTATTGACTTAAAAGAAGCTCATATTTCTTGCTGATAAGTTACTTGTAAGTTAGTTTTGTCTTATTTTAAGTGAACTAAGATGTTTGCAGTAGAATAGACCAAAAGTACTTGGTGACATTTTGTGTTTTTACAGTGTAAAGAGGCTGTTTGAGTGGAACCGTCTCACCTCGGGGTGTTTCTTGTGTTTGAGGTATTCGTTGATGGAGGGGTGGAAGTATTTTTCGTATCCTTCATTCAGACTGTAGATCTTTCCCTTCTGCTTGATCCGCACGTTCCTCTCAATCAGGATGAACTCACCGATGGCCTTTAACCAGAAATAAGAAGAAAATGCTTAAATTCACTCATGTTCTGGAAAAGAGAAGATAGAGTTTTATTTTTAAGCATAAGAAGAGCAATAAATAACAGCAAAATGTATGTATGGATTCAAATTGTTGGTATACACTGCAAAAACACAAAGTTTTACAAAGTAATTTTGGTTTCTAGTGCAGATATCTTAATACACTTGACAAAACGGGAGAAAAGTCGGTGGACTCACTGGGTCGAGCATGAAGAAGTTGAGGCCGGCGCCGGTGCTGAGGGCGACGAGCGTGGCGCTGCCATAGAGCGCGTAGCCGGCGCACACGATGCTGTTCCCCTGCTGCAGGGCGTCCTGCTCTGTGGGCTCGCCTTCTGACGTCTGATCGCAACAACAAGAAGAAAACAGACTGAGCTGCATTCAGCAATACAGCTGAAACGATTAATCACGATTAATCGTTTATTAAAATAATCAGCTAATTTAGTAATCGAGTAATTAACT